CCTGCCTAGGCAGGGGGTTGAACTAGAAGACCTCCAAGGTCCCTTCCAACTCTGTTATTCTATTCTATTGTATGTTCGTCATTACGGTGAGAAGCGGGCTATTCGCCCCCCTTACACAGGCGAAACTGCTCAAGAAATGAAGCTATTATATGAACAAAAATATGACGATACTAAAGCACGATTAGGATTTACATGGTCGAAACATTTGGAAGGAGCAAGTAGAAGCGTGACATCTTTTTCATAATCCAAATTGTGAAAAGTAGCGTACAGAGAAGCTGAGTTTATAATAATAATTGCACCTTGAGATAGAAAGCTCAGAAAACTATTGATATGAAACAATGTCCACTCTTTTCAAGCAGAATGAAAACCATGCAACGTTTAAAAAAAGAAGACATCTAATTGTAGTGAAATTCTAGTTCATAATTCTAACTTAACCTTTTATTTGTGATTTATGAAAGAAATTACTTGCTGAAAAACATTGCTATAATTATTTGAAAACATTGCAACACAGCAGCAGACTAAGAGAAAATGGTTGAAAGAAGGAAAGAAGGAAAAGGATTTACTAGTGGAATAGAATAAAATTCAGTAAATATAGCCAATGGTATATAGCCAATATGATGGGAGGGAAATTAGATTAATACTATTAACGGTGGATAATTCACTAAGTGAAATGTTTACTATATAAAATTAAATTTGAGGAGATATGTTATCGAGAGTAAAACAGAATAAGAGATGGAAATGGTACGTTAAATCTGATTAACTTGGAGAGGCAAATAAGGATCTTGTTTATACATTAAGAAATTAAAAGTTAAACTGGAAAATATGGAAAGAAAATAAGACTGAAATGCGAACTGAAAATATGATGTAAAATGAACTATGGTGTAAAGTGGGGGGGGGAGACACTTTATTTCAAGAAAAAAAAAATTACCCTGAGCCAAGATTGCTGCAAAGCAGTTTCCCACATTTTTACGGCAATTACACACACACACACACTCACACACACAGAGGCTCAGTCTTCTTACCGTTGTACGGGTTGTTCCCAGTTTCGATCCGCTTGGCCACGGCCTTTTCCAGATCCCGTTTCCGCACGCACTGGATTCCCAGGTTCTGGAAGCTGGGGACAAAGGCAGGCGTGAATGTCCCACTTGAGAAGGAAAAAAAGAGGCCAAGAGGTGATGTCTTTCCGATTTCTACCCCCCAATTCCATCTCCTGGGACTCACCTGTGAATGGAGCGCTCGGGAGACAATTCGGCTTCGTAGTAGCCTTCTTTGCAGTCCTTGCCCACCAGGTCATGGGGGTGAGGCCGATGGGGGGCTTCTTTGGTCACCAGGGAAATGCGGACCTTCCCCGGACCCTGGTAGTTGTGAATCTGAGGGGGGGCAAAAGAGGGAAAGAGTTGGACACGGGCCAGCCAAACGTGTCTCAGGGTTGCATCTCCTCCTATTACGACCTAGGCTTCCCAAGAGCGTGAACCCAACTCCTCGTCCTGACAAAACCTCTTTTATTTAGGTTAGAGGGAATTCCTCTTCAGCATAGTTCTGGCTAACGGTCTTTCATGAGATTTCACAACTGCAGACTTTAATCAGGCTTGGAGAGGTGCCAGGCAATATCTTTTAAACGCCACGCTGTAGCAGCAATTACTTGGCAAGTAGTCAAGAACAGACCTTCACTGTAATGAATTGAACTAATGGTCTCCTGCAAACTCCACCCCCCCTTTGCTCCTCTTTTATTTCCTCTGGGAGGGGCCATTCACCGTCCACCTGTGCCTTTACTCCCAAGTCGGTCCTTGTTCCTTAGCTGTTCCCTTCGTCTGGCAGCTCTGCGCATGCGCACACTGGGAGCAGGCTCCAGCTGTTCTTCTGCCCCAGTGATATCTGACTCTGAAGGCAGCTGATAACTGTCAGCCCCCTCTCTGCCTCCGACACAGAGCCCTCCTCCGAGCCTTCCCCAGACTCCAGGACTGGCCCAGGTTCCTCCCCAACCCTCCTCACTGTCTGACTCTGCCGCCAGCTCCACTGGCTGCTGGCAGGCCGCAACATGCTCAGAGTGCTTTTCACCTTGAGTAGCTGTTGGGTGATCAACTGGCATTAGAGGATTAGATCAAACATAGTGTTTTTTCTGCAAGAACTTCCTGGATCGTTCAACACAGCCTCTAAACCAGTGTTTCTCAACCTTGTCAACTTGAAGATGTCTGGACTTCAACTCCCAGAATTCCCCA